GCTAGTTCATGGCTATAGGAGTCTGGGTCAGTTGTAACAGCAACAGTCTGGGTTAGTTGTAACAATAATGCAGATGTTACAACTTACCACACTATTACTTTAACTTATATTAAACAAGTTGGGGCAACGACATCAGCAGAGAGAGGTTCACTGGTCGCTTTTGTATATGCGGTTAATGCCATTGGCAACACAATTCCTCCACTGTTTGTGTTCCCACACATACATTATGCAGACCACTGTGTCAGAGATGGACCAGTAGGAAGTACTGGTAGTGGAAATAAATCAGGATGGGTGCAAGAAACAGATTTCCTCATCTTTCTGAAGCACTTTGCAAACCACACCAAGGTAAGCCATGATAAAAAGTAATGGAATTGCGATGCTGGTGAACAACTACATTTTTTCAGCTTCATTGTTATGTTCAAAATTGGTGCAAGTGTAACACTGATGTAGCGCTAATGAATTAATACAGGCTAGGGATTGAGTGTGATTTTATGGTTATTATTAATCAGAAGATTTAGGGACGCCACTGGAGCTGATGGGCAGTAATTAATAAATGCACACAACACAAAAAATGGTTTTGCAGGTACCTTGTATTTAACCAAACCCCAAAAAGAATAACAAGAAAAGGAAAACTTAAATAATCACTCCTGCTGCAGCTATCCAATTAATCAAAAACCCAGTGAGGGTACACAAAGACAACTAAACAGATTTATCTGGCTTATACCAAGCAACACAGGTTCTCAAAAACAGTTCCCCCATTAACACCACATGTTAATATCAAATCCACTGATCCACACTGAAGTCCATGAGTTTAATCTGAATGTCCATGAGAGATGTCCAAGCGCTATTGTCCATAAATGAAAGGAATGGTGTGTATGATTGCGGAAATCAGTGTATTTGGAAAATGGGGACAGAGCGTTGTCTTTGATAGCTTCCTACCCAACCGGTGGAAGCGTCAATTGCAGAATGTGTCCTGCTCCTAGCCGTTCATTGGCTCGCCATCCTCTTTCATACCCCAAAAAGGTTCACCTGGCCTGCATTAAATAAACAAGGCCAATAAGAAATCACAAGAATACAAAAATGTCAGCCAATTAAGCTAAATACATTAAGTTATTCTTGTTCCTGTGTACACAATTCATAAATAAATAAACAAACAATATATTGGTTAAATATAATATTTCTAACCAATAAGGATTTAACTGAAAACATTTCAATTGCTACATACATACTATGTAGCTCCATAACATTTGTTATTCAACAACTATCAGTCAAATCAAAATCAAATTGTTTGGACCGGCAGCAGCCGATTAGGGTCAGCTGGTAGCAATACAAACAGTCAATTAAAAGTTCAAACTCACCAATTCCGTTCTGTTCAGTGCACAACAACATTATGGCTCTGGCTCACAGTAATCAGCATCTAAGTTGCATAAGTTAGTTGGTGTTAAAAAATGCATTAAAACGGGAAAAGAAAATGTTTGCCAATACACACCTGCAACAGCTCTGTCACCTGGCTTGCCTCCACGCATCTGACGGGAGGAAGCCGGGACAGGCTTACTATGACCTACATGCCATCCGATTGGCCGAGCAAAGTCATGTCGTTGGAGTCATGCATTTGTGATGCGTTCAATGGCAGGAAATAAGTGCAGGAAATTACTCTGGGTTACACAGAGTTGTAGGTTATAATGCCCACTGAGCCAATGAGGCCAAACTCAAGGAAGACCAACCAAAATTAATGAAATATTCAGTTGCAGAAAATTCCATAATTGTCTTTTTTGGGGGGTTGGAATATGTTCAAAAGCTAGATTTCTGCATTCTGTCACACACACACACACAGCTACATAAATGGCTCTAAGTGCATTCATGTGTTGAATAAACAAAGATTACATGTTAATGTTTTGTTAGTACCCTTATTTCATTGTGTTACATTTCACCCCAGGATATGTTACAACTAACCCAGACTATGGGGTTAATTGTAACATTTCACTCTTTGTGTTTGAGCCATACCATGCAATGGGTAATTGTGCTGCAGAGAAAATAGCTGCACTATTTAATAGCCGAGACATGTAAATACTTTGCATTACATTTTGAATCCACTACCTTAAAAGAGCTCCAATTTACAGACAGAAATGTCAAAAATGTTACAACTATCCCCGGTCTCCCCTACACACAAACAAATAATATATATATATATATATATAGTATATATCAGATATATAATCTCTCCAGTAGTGCTATAATATTATATATATATATATTAGTAAGCAGGTATATATTTGTAATCATGGTATTCATGCCCATGATTGTAAACATCTGACCACAGCTGATTCTAGACGTCCCCACAAATTCCACAAATAATCTTGACAACTCAACTTTTCGTAATAATTGAAGTTCTTCTTAGATCACCTGTAGTTTACACCTTAGGAGCTTTCAAAAAACAGCTATGATAAATATAATAATTACCTCATCACAAGAAAAGGGGCATAAAAAATAATCATGAGCACAAGCATCCTTGGCTCCATTACTAAGTGGGCTGCACCAATGTTTTTTCCTTAAATTCTTTCTGATGTACAGCCTGTTATGATTCAGTGTTATCAGTGTTTGTTTTATGTGTGACTATTCCCGAAAGAGGATGGCTGTGAATTTTTTCCTTTTCTTTCATGGGGGTGGACACCTGGGCGTGCCTGCTGAGTTGTTGGGTGGAGGTTGTTCCTGCCCTGGGATTGGACAATTGGTTGATCACCCCCAGTATTTAACCACCAGATGACAACCACCTGACCCCTCTCTCCTAGCCTCCACCACCCCAACAAAGAGTCTGTGTTTTTGATTTGTTGTTACATAAAGTGTTTTTACCAAGTGACTCACAAGTTTAACCTCGTGTGTGTCTGGCGTTAGAGCTTTGATCTTGTAAATAAATTTGTAAAGAAGCATTTGTGTATCTTTTTTCACTGTGTATATATTGTTCACTGCAGCAGCCTGGTAGGTGTGAGAAGCCATTTTTTGTTGATTCAGTTTTCTCCTGTTTTTCTTTTAGAATGTTAGGTAAGTGAACTGTCTTTTGGTTTGATTTCTTTTGTATAGGGAAGCATAGGAACCTTTAGGGAGTTTTGTATATTCTTTTGGCATTGCTCACTGCTGAAGCAAATAAACGGCACTTTAAAGGGTGATCCTGTTTTTTCTTTCTTGAGTAGTGCGTGAGTGGGGGCCAATTTCTTTTGCGTTCAATGCGCACCTAGACTTAGAACGATACAAGCCTTATTACACTGTTATCTACCATCTTTTTTGCTGGGAGCTGGAGTGGGAAAGAATGCAGAACCAACCCAGATCTAGATAATGTGAAATAAGATTTTACTGTGCAAATGTGCAGTGCTTCAAAGGTGACACTTAGACGCGCCATGATGTCTTGATTTATTTGAAAAACGAAAAAAAAAAAAAAAGTAGTATATATTCACATCAAATGTCTACTGAGAACACACTAAAAACAATTTCACAAAGAAAACTGCCTTTTTTGGAATGAAGCAAATAAAATTTCAAGTAGTGGCATTTTCTTTGTTCTTTTTTCTCATTTATACATAAAAACACTATGTACATTTAAAAAAAAAAAAAAAAAACAACAACAAAAAACAACACAGGCTATAACCAGTCTGAAGTAACAGTTTAAAATGCATTTACAGTCAGTCAATCCTTTCAACATCATGTACTGGTCCTCCTGAATGTGGGATGAAATTCAGTGAAAACCCCAGAAAGAAAAGACAAAAAACAAAAACTTGTTTAGTGTAAAAAAAACAAAAAAAACAACAACAAAAAAACAAAAAAAACAACTTCCATTTGCGTCAACGACAGAAACACTAATGCATTAAAAACCACTTTAGTACTGATTGTTCAAGCGTGGAACGTTGTTACATTGATTGAACCACCCTCCCTTCTGTGATAATTAAAGTGCTAGACCTTATACAGATGGAGAAAGAAAGAAAAGTGAGTAAAGCACATTTTCACATCATCTTAGAGTTCTGTGTTGCGCTGGGTGCTGTGTCAGGTCTGCGCAAAAATAAGTTACCACCACGCACCACCAAACATTTGCACAAAAGTTGTTCGGCTGGTGGTTCTTGGTCATTGGCAAAACTTCACAAATGTATAGTGTATGAAAAACCCAACATTTACCACCTGATGTGATTAGTGTGTTACAGGTCTTAACACTGATCAAAACATTAAAACAGAATAAAAATTTATACACAGCACAACTGGTGTATAGTTACAAGACTACAGAGGATGCAGTTCACCAAATGAGTCATTTCACAGCTCTGCTTCTCTGAAGGTAGATGCCCCTGAAACAAGTAAAACAGACACCACCACAGTACCTTTGGCAAAGAACAAAAGTGAACGTGAAGGCAAACAATCATTGACGATCCATTAAGTAGATGACAGTGGTCACCTATGTATGAAATTCACCAAAATACAAGCTTACTTCTTGTACAGACAGTGCATATCAGCAACCAAAACAATACACCCCCCCAAAAAACAAAACATATCCATGAGGTTTCACTTTTTACAACTATCCAGCGTGATCTGAGATAGGTCGTTGTAGGAGACTGTAAAAATAGCTGAAATGGCAACCATTGTACCAGGGTCCTGAGGAAAGGCAAGTTATTTTCCCAGTGGTATCAGAGCTGAGTGTGAGTCTCTTTACTGGAGGTATTAAATTGCTGCAAGCCTGTAAACATGTAAATGAAATGTAACACAATAGAAGGCATTTTTCTATTCTATTCATATACAGACGTTCGTCTTTCCCTTACTTCTCCTTGAGCCAAGTCTCTAGATCTTGTGGTGATTGACAGACCAGTGCAGACTGACACGAGTCAGTCTGCAATATTGAAAAGTGCTGGAATTTTTTTTGTGTGTGTGTGTGTGTGTGTGTGTGTGTGTGTGTGTGTGTGTGTGT